GGGGGGGATACGTCACTGTGACCAGAGCTGCCATGTCACTGCTGGGGGAGGGAGGGGGTGTCCTCCATGGCGCAACACGTCACACTATTGATGGACTCATGGTTAAATTAAGCAAAGCATGTTATGCTATTACATCTTTAAGGCCCTTTGTGTCCCATGAATCACTAAGGATGATTCACTGTTCTTATTTTCATGCAGTTATGTCATATGGTATAATCTTCAGGGGGAATTCCCCTTATAGTATCAATATATTTAAACTACAAAAAAAGCCATAAGAATTATACAAATTCCAGAAACAGAGAGTCCTGTTGGGAATTGTTTAAGAAATTAGATACATTACCATTTTATTCTCAGTATGTATGTATTTTCATTACTAATTTTTGTAATTGATAACAGCTTATTTAAAACAAATTCAGAGTTATATGATATCAACACCAGAGGTAAAAATAATTTTTACCCTTCACAACCAAGGTTGTCTATAAAAAATGGTGTTTATTATATAGGTTATAAAGGCATTTAATCACTTACCTCCTTGCATAAAATAATTGTCTGATAATAAGAATCAATTTAAAAATACTCTAAAAAAAATACCTTCTATTGAATTTGATTTGTTTCATTCTGGTCCATCACACTAACAATATTACAAATGATAAAACAATTCTGTCCAGTGTGACTGTTGAAGCTTTTTACTGCTTCACTTCTTAGCACCCTAACATGTTTCGGTCCCTACAGACCATCATCAGAGGGAACATCAATACTTTTAGAAACTACTATTACATTGGGTGTTTTGATTTTTAAAATACATAAATATACAATATTTGTGATATATAGTTGTAAGAAATTTGGATTTTCTATAAAGTGTATATTACAAATATTGTATAGTTATGTATTTTAAAAATCAAAACACCCACTGTAATAGTAGTTTCTAAAAGTATTGATGTTCCCTCTAATGATGGTCTACGAGGGGGGACCCAAAATAACCGGAACCGACCTGTTGCGCGCGCATGCTTTGTAGTTACGAGTTGTGCTGCTAGGTGGTGTTAGCTGGGGGTCTCCCGCGACTGTTAGTGAGCTGGTGTCAGTCTGAGTTAAGTGGTTTGTCTGTGGTGCTCTGTTGTGTGCGTTCCTGTTTCAACCCTTTGGCGATTAGTGAGATGGCCGACCAGAAGGAACAAAGAGTGTGCGTGAAATTTTGCTTTCTGTTAGGGAAAACTGCAGCCGAGACTGTTGGGATGCTTCG